TCCTGCTTTACCCTGTGTAATCTGAAAGTCAGCTTGGTGTCTGGTGGCTGCTTCAGGCTGTTTCTGTAAAAGGCTTGTACACCTGGCAGACATGGTCCTTCAAAGAATAAGGGGTTTTTATATATGGCAAAACTGCCAAAAAACTCTCACCTTCCTTTTTTTCCCAGCTTTTGAAATGGGTAGTGAGCCAGGCATGAATCTGTGACAAAAGGACAAAGTGCTGTTACACTCTGGTTACTTAGTCTATGGAAAAGCAGCTGATAAAATCAATGCAGCCATTCTTAAATTTACGTGGGATTCATGTAGCCCTGGCAAGGGCAAGAATATGTACCTCTGCTATCTTTGTTCTACCTCTCTGCATTCTTGCATCGCTCATAGCTTGGGAGGAACAAAGAATCTAGTCCTTCTTAAAGCTGATTTGCAGGGAGCAATGAGCAGAATTAAAACAGAATTTATGCACACACTGCATTACTCTATAAGTAATTTAGGATGAAAAGGAAATTCCTCCTAAGGCCTATTTATCAAGTCTTGAAATTACACAAGTTCTTAGTATTCAAAAATTCTCTCCTCATCTGTCACAAAACGAATGCAGCTTGGGCATTCATGACAAGGGATACGATAATTTCTAAAGAAGGGAATTTTACCCTAAAGAAGTTGTAAGCAGCAAGAAAAAGTATTCGGAGCCATTTCTAAAGAGGAATGTTTCAACATTCGTATTATGTGTGGACATGCCTGGAATGGTATCAGCACTGTAGCAAGCAATCCAGCTTTAACCCTGGAGGAAGCAATATTGAAATATGATGTTGAACATAAGTAGGAAGTAGAACATAACAGCTACCAGTCTTTTGAAATGTTCTCCTATTGAAATAGCTCCAAACATAAGTGTGTCCTTATCATGAGAAGACACACACAGAGGTGATTAAAAAACTTCTTCAGTGGGTCTAGGATGTCACTAACAAGAGCATGCTCTGCTAAGGGTACAGGCCTTGGTGTGATGACCTAAAAAGACATAACCAGAAGTAAATGTAATACCTCCTATGTACAGGAGGAATAGAACCTGTCCCACAAGAAAAAAGGTGCGCACGGCTTGCCTCCCTAAATCGTACAGTCAGTGAAAGATCTGGTTAAGTCCCAGGCATCTCAGATTTCAAGAGACTGAATAGTGAAGATGATAAAATTCAGACTGGATTTCCTTTATGGGAGGTAACCAAGGAGACCTTCTCCCTGGGTTCAAAGGATGTGGATTACTGAGAACTTCAAAGCTGTATCCTTCTCTGAGCAAGTCTTTTTCGTGAGTTAAGGTTGAAAGGGTGTGGTCAAGACTTGTGCACATGTGTGAACTACCACTGGTATTTGCAGAAAGATAAGGAAGCACAGATATTTCAGACTGAAGGAGATGTCAATTACCAGGTTACATTTTTTTATATTTCATTAAAGAAAGCAGACAACAGATGGATGTTAAATTGAACCCAATATAGGCCCTTTCCTGCTAAACTGCCTGGCTAAGTGAATCTCCAGGAATCTAACTGGAATTAAACCAAGATGAAATTTGCCTTCATACACTTCTCTCTGTCTCTATAGGAAATCAAAGAACTTACAGAACATCTCAAAGAGTATGTGGCAATCATTTCAATACAGTGTTTTGGGTCTGGAGAACATTTGAACTATTTTATTTTTCATGATTTGGGGATCAGTCTTGCATTCCCTACATAAAAAAACCCCCACCAATTGACTACAGTAGGAATTTTAAATGCACAGTAAATGAACATGACCTTTGGAGACAATGTGACTTTTTTTGTTTATTTCTCCTTGAATTGATTTCTGGTGAATGTTAGAAATTGTGTAGTTCATAAATGGTCAAATTCTCCTATATGCATTCAGCCCTTGCTTAGATAACATGGATCTTACCTAAGCATGGAGGTAAGATTTGACTTAAGTAGTTGTAGAAATGTAGAAACATTTAAAATATATTATTTAGATGAATTCTTGTCCTCTTACAATTGCAGAAGTTTAGAACTGTAAATGTCATTAGAGACTTACAATTAAATCTTAAATTGCACGTCTTTGTTCTAAGCTGTTGCTAAGAACATTATGTATGGGGGCCAGCTAGATGCAATTTTTTACTCAGAATTTTTATGAACATGCCTCTTGTTTCCAGATATTATGTTGTTTAACAGAGCTGTTTTGTTCTGTCTTTGTTGCCATGCTTCTTTATAGTACAAATCTGAATAGGAACACAACTGAAGGTAATGCCACATATGCAAGATATGGTACCTCATTGACATTATTTACAACAAATATTACATCACATGCCTGATGTAATAGACATTCAAAGGAAGCTTCAATGAAGTGCCTACAACTATATTTTCCCATTTATTCATATCTCACAGATAATTTGTACTAAACCTGCACAAACCCATAATTAAGTCCTATCACAATTGTAACTAATTTTACATTCTCCATTTGTCTGTCTAAAGACAAAATAGTTGTTAACAATACACACAATGTTGAATATAACTAATATGCTTTTTATTTCATTTAGCAGATAGTAGTGATGATACAAGTGAGAAAAAAAATTCAAAGGAACCTGAGAAAGCTGAGTCTACTGTAAATTCTGTATCTCTGCTTAAAGATGAGATTCCCCAGAGAGAGTCCAAAACTGACAGTTCTACATCATCACCCATACATGAAAAACCAGGATGTTTAGATTTTGCAAGTGGGATAGCTGAAACAAATCATCCTGCAATATATCAGGAAAATCATCTTTCCAATGAACCTGTTCATACAAGGAAGGATTTTGTTTTTGAACTTGCAACAGAAATAATACAAGACAAACACTGCACAGGTCAAAAAAGAGATGACAACACTGAAGTATATAAAGAGGAGAAAGAAACATTGCCAAGACATTCTCTTTCTCAAAAAGAGGAGATTGAAAACAATAAATGCAATGTTTCAAGGAGCAGATCTCTAATGACTTTTTCACTGACAGATATCTCTTCCACCATCTGTTCTGACATGCGTGATTTGCACTCCACTGCAGCCATGCAAGATAGTGACATTTCTCGTCTTATAGATGAGGTTTCCCTAACAAATGAGAGTGATGTTGGCAGTTCTGTCTCAGCACTGATTGGACAGTTTGACATCACAGATGAGCAAACTAATCTGACTATTGTTTCAAGTCTTCATGGCACAAGCAATCAGACCTTCAGTGTAATGTCATCACATCCACATCTCTTTGCTGTTGATCTTAACACATCCTGTAAGCACAATCTGATAAAACCTGTCGATTCACCATTATTCTCAACTCCAGATACCACTGTGTTCTCAAGCCCTGAGACAACAGAGTATTCTGTGTACACAATTATTCATGAAGCATCTCTTACACCAGTTTCTGATTGTAAACCAATAGATGAATTGGTTTGCAAGAAGAAGTTAGTTTGCATAGAAAAAAGCCCTGCTGCGTCATCTTGTACGTCTCCTCTCCATTTGCTTAAAGCAGATTCCAAAAGGAAGTGTGGTTCAAACTGGGAAACACTTGAGGATTGCAGTTCCTGTACTTCTAATAGTTTTACCTTGGAAGATACATTAGCTGACCCCCCCATGTGTGTAAATTCAGCAGGCAGCAGTCTAATAGAAGTTGATGGGGATTCCCAAGACCTCTTGATAACTACTTATGAGTACAAGAGAGAAGATATGAGCCAGCTTGCTTCTCCTTTGAAACTCAAGCACAATCATGAACCAGTGTGCAACAGTGAGAGAATCTCTGGGAATAACTCAATCAAGGAGGCCCTCTGCAGCATTGACCCAGGTAGTTCAAAACAACCATTTCCTTACCCAGAATATAATACTGTTGACTTTTTGCCTAATAATCATTGTCAAACTCCAGATATACAAAAGGATGTGGTGCCTACCTCCCCAAAATCTTGCTTTAATAAAATGTACTCTGCTACCCCTCAGAATGCTTTGCCTTTCCCTCCTCCTGCATCTGTGAAACAGCCTAGTCCTTGCAAATCCAAAAGCCTTGGAGACTTGACATCAGAGGATATCTCCTGCAACTTTGAAAGCAAGTACAAATACATAAGTAGAAGCTTTATTACATCTGGCATGAGGGACAAGAAAGTGGCTGCTATGAATACGAAGAGACCACATTCTACAGATGCTCTTACAGAACAGCTACGAAAACTGGTATCTTTTGACCAGGAAGAGAGCTGTCAAGCATTGTATTCTAAGCAGAATGATGATGATGATTGCCCCAAGGCACTGGTCAGAAAACTGTCATCCAGAAGTCAGAGTAGAGTACGTAATATCGCCAGTCGTGCCAAGGAAAGACAAGAAGCCAGCAAACAAAAACTTTCTAATGCGAGCAGCATAGCAGGGGTAGTTCTCAGAAACAAACCATCAGCCTCACCCCATGTTATCAACAGGCATTCCACTGGCTCTTACATTGCAAGATATCTGAATAACTTCAATCAGGAGGATGTGGAAGGTCGGGGCATACCAGAGGGTGCATGCACTTCTTTGCGGTACGGATTTAATGATCGGTTTTATACTGATGATTCTGTTTTGCAGATGGAGGCAAGCGGTGACGAGAAG